GAAAAATCATGAAAAGAAATAATAGATATTACTATACAGATTCGTCATATGGACAACGATGGTCAAAAGCCTATTTGCTATACTCACATTTAAGTAATAATTAATACTCACTATAAAATATATAGCATTATGCTTAAAAACTAGAATTGTAAATAGATTTTATTTTCTCTCAGTTTAATGGATGTTTTACTGCTTACAGCTAGGGCTAGTGCTAAGCAAGATATAATTGAGTTTTTCCTCAAGCAAATTCATTGACTATATATATGACTTATTTGTAAATATCCTCGATTTAAAGGTGGCCTTGACTTTCAAAATGGTGTCAACTGATCATGTTGTTCTGTTCTACTTAAATCTTTCCAAGTTTCTCCATAGTTTGGTACAGTTCAACTTTGTACCCAAGGCTCTTCATGATATGGCCCCAATCTAGATCTATAGCCTCCAAATAGGTACCTGCTGTTCCAGCCACATCAAAATATTTGCAGTCCCAGGACCATACAGGTTGTTTTACACAATAATGTCTTCTATCCTACCACTTGTTGTTCCCTCTTTCAGAAACCACCTTTTAACCTACTTCTGTTAACCACAATTAACTAATTATTCAAGTGTCACATCCTAGCAGAAACCTTCTTGATTCTCACAGTTCTATTTATATTGTTTCTGTTCTATGCTCGCATAGTAACAGCCTGGGCTAACTTCTAACATAGCACTCACTGATCACACTTAATAATATAACTTTTATTTATCTTTACCTTGAGATTGCAAACATCCCAAAGGCAACATTTAGATCTTGATCCACTAGAGTCTCAGTAAAATTCTACCCCTCCCCCCACCCCTAGAGACAGGGTCTTGCTCTGTCGCCCAAGCTAGAGTGAAGTGGTGTCATCATACCTTACTGTAACCTCAAGCTCCTGGGCTCAAGTGTTCCTCCCACTTCAGCCTCCCAAGTAGCTAGGACTACAGGCATGCTCCACTACAACAGGCCAATTTTTCCATTTTTTTGTAGAGATGGGGTTCTCACTCTTGCTCAGGCTGGTCTCAAATTCCTGGTCTCAAGCAACACTCCTGCCTCAGCCTGCCAGTGTGCTAGGATTACGGGCATGAGCCACCTCGCCCAGCCTCAGTAAATATTTTTTAAATCAACAAATGAATTAGATAAGATGAAGAAGTGTTAGTAATTAGAAAAAGAATGGGTAATATTGGTACACTGTAGTCACCAGTGAATATGGTGCACAGGTTTGGTTGAAAAATCCAAGTTCTATCCTAAATTGTTACTATTTCATTATCATGGCTATATTATAGGAAATCAAGGAGCTAAATGACCTTGTTTAATGTTCATAGTAGAGGCAGAAGTAGCAACTCCATCTTATAAAAAAGTATCTACATAATTATAAAAGTCAGAAAAAAGTCATTAGAAATTGTATTTCTACATAAGAAATTTTCCAACAGAAATGTGCCCAGGTTTCTGTTCTTATATGTACTAAATACAAGTAGATACCTTAGTTTTTGGCAGACAGAGGTGAAAGAAGGGGGAAGACTGTGTGAATTGCCAAATAAAGCTCAAGTCCTGAAAAAGTCATTTCTATTATTTGTTTCTATTGAGAATCAGTTAACAGAGGTATGATGATTTCTTTTGGAATTATGATTAAAGAAAGAAAAAAAACCCTGATGCTATTTATTTTTTTTTCTAAACATCTATTTAATAACACCATTGTGGTCCAGATCCCACCAATCTGCTCCTTGGTACATGTCAATGTTTGAGTAGAAAGACTCAAAGACTCGAATGTGCCTCACATAGGTAAATTATTTTCAATTTCACAGGGACATAGAAACATCAAAGTAATGCAAGTTATAAGAGTAAACCTATTATGATATCATTACTAATAAATGTTACCAGAGTAAATAATACAAGGATTTATTCTTTGTAAAGTACATGTTTATTCCTGCTTTTAACATGCTTATTCTGACTGCTACTAAAAGGACTCAGGAGGGACACTTATCACAACTATTTTTAAAAAGGTTTTTAAAGAATATATGCACCACCCAGATTAAGCTTAAAAACACTTCCATCATCTCAGATATCCTTATGGCCTTCCCAGTTAATTTACCCATCCCTCAAATCACTATTTGTGATAGAAGTTCTGTTCTTGAGCTTCTTACAATCTGTATTCTTTTTTTGTTTGGTTTCTTTTGCTCAATATAAGGTTAGCCTTACCATAACTTATTAAAATGGAAGAAATAAAGATTATAAACTACAGATGTCAAGGGCTGTGTCTACCTAATTCTTATAAAATGCCTAGTACAGGCTTATAATAAATGTTTTCATATACTACATTATATTTCATAAAGTTGTTTAAAGGTGGTATGGGCTATCTTTAGCAATAACCTGGAGGTATTTTAGCCATAGATCCAGATAAATACTTGGTAGGGATGATGCAGAAGAGATTCAAGCATGTATAACAAGCTATACATCCCAATTCAGAGTACATGATATTTTTAGAAAAAGATAAATTAGTCCTAGCTTGACTCACCTTTGTGGTATCATGTGCATTCAATATGCCTTCTACAATGTCAGAGAGATCCGTATGTAATTCCTTTAAAAACAGCAACCCAAAGAAATAATTAGAAAAGAGTGGATACACTTTTTATTTTATTATTCAGTGGCTAAAGTTTACTGTGTTGGTCAAATATTTTTTTAATTACCATAAAGATTCTCATATTCATTTTAAAAATTAAGATAATTTTCCTGTTGTTTCATTCTTTCTTTTCATAAATTCAATTTATTAAGTTTTTTTAAAGCCAAACTCTTTTCCCAATTTTGCACCTTCAGTTATAAATATTGAGTAGTATAATATAGCAACTAAAAGCAATAACAAATTTTTTTCTTCTTTTTTGTTTTAATCATTCATTCCATTTTCCTGCTGGAAGTATATACACAAGAAAACATACACAATAAGAACTTACAGGGATATCATCAGTACGGTTGTCCTTCCAGACCTCTAGAAGTGCAACCACCATGTCTCTCAGTTCAATCCTGGAAAGAACTCCATCACGGTCAACATCAAACACCTTGAAGCAAACTAAAGAAAAGAAATTCTTATGGAGGAAAATTATTTTTATATTCTGAAGCATAATACATTTTACTAGAACCTTCCCTTATATAATTACTTAGTTTCTCAAGCAAATATATGTATTCTGGAGCAGTTCTTATCTGGAGCAGACTATACCAAGTCATTAGTCCTTGGAACTTGTAGAACTCCGTACACATCATGAATCTATTGCTCTACATAATTATCCAGGTTAGGGAGTCCTATCTTTCAGCCAAATCTAGAGCTAAATTCCTTACACACCAGAAAGAAAGGGCTAAGTCACCATACGATAAATACTGTATCTAAAAGGTTTTGAGGAGGTATGGCAGTCCTTAATTTCTAATATTCAAAACTGATCATTACAATTGTTCCTTATATGCTTAAAATATCCCATCTATATAGAAAATCATAATGACAAGCTGATGTAAAGGTAGACTGCTTCCATTTTACCTCTCCAATGTACTATAGTACATTGAAATTTTTGTCATGAACAATTTCAGCTCTTCAATGAAGTTCATATACGACATGCTAAGAATTGTAAGATCAGCTCTTTGCCAATTAACTCCAAATGAATCACTCTGGTTTAACTATCATTAGTTCATCAGCAACAAAGAAAATAAAAAAATAGAAGAGTTTTAAAGGCAATAAAATAATCTCAGTTGAAAAGTAGAGATTTCAGCTTCTTTATTTAACATTAAATTTTAACAGAAACAAATAATCTATCAAAAAGCCAGTTTGGAATAATGATATATCAACAGAAAATTTAAAAAGAAATCTGAATTTTTAAGATTAAAAACTGTCTATTTCAAACACCCCTATTAATAGAATAATTATGTTATTAAATCAATTAAGTGCATCATAGTATAATACTACTAACTAAAATAAAAATATTAAACACCACACCCAAATAGACAACATTTGTGAAGATATAGTTTAGAAAGACACAGAGATAATGACCCTAGTAAATATATTTGAGTTAGGTTCCAATTAAATGTTAACTGCAGCATTTTCTCAAACATGGTTAAGATTTAATAATGCAATATACTTATGCTTACAAATTATGCTGTAACATTTTAGCTAGGTTAAAAACACCATTTTACTATTTAATAAAGTTGTGTTTTAACCACAAATTTTATTTTGCCAATAAAATATTAATATATGCAAGGGACAGAAAATGAGTTACACTTCAAATTATGGAAAACACAAAATTCTCTTTATAGACTACCAGAAATTTCCTAAGTGCTTGAAATCTTCAAATACATCGTGGCTGATTTGATTCATTTATCATGAATTACAAATTCTTCAGGAAAATCAACCCCATTGTTAATAGCAAAGATCCCAAACTATTCCACAGTATAAAAGAATAGATGATTGATTCCTTACACTGACCTCAGTAAAACCCCAACATGAGATTAATATTTGCCAACCTGACAAAGTTATTAAAATGCATGACTTACTCCACAGATAATTTTACACAAACAAAAACTGATTTTCTCTCTCCATAGTTTGTAAATTTTGTGACAATGTTTAACACTTACATTTTTGCCTTTCAGCCAGGGGTCCCCTGCAACAAGCTGATAACCCACAGGATATCTCCTTAAAATCTATGTGATTGTCACGATTTTCATCAAAAGCATTAAACAACCCTGTGAAATAGAAAAAGACACCATAAATCACAGCCAAGAAACTTCCTAATGTTAATACTGACACATTTACGAAAGGAAGGATGAGTCTTTCCCATAAACTGGCAGAATTAAAAAAAAAAAAAAAAGTTTATCAGTAGTTCCCAATGTCTCAGGAAGTATTTCTTTTTCTCTTGGTATAATTATAACTGAAACTGGCTGGTCCGATGGTAGCGGGTTATCAGAACTCATTAACATTAGTGTCACTAAAGTTGGTATCAACCCCCCACTGTTAAATTTGACTGGATTTAAATTTAAAAAAAAAAAATCATAACTGAAACTTCTGATCCTAGCAGAAAATACATTACAATCCTTTAGTGTTTCGTTATATCTATCTGTATTTATCTGTCAATTTTTAAGTTGATAAATAAAAATTAAAAAACAAAGTAAAAGTTAGAAATTACAGCAATTATGCTTACTTAGAAAGACTGAGAAGAAAAAGGAAAAGAGAGAGAAACAGAACTGCTTATTAAATGAATATTCAAAGATATATTGTGGTAATATTAATGAGCTCCCACAAAGCTCGTTCACGAAGCAAAGGAAAATACACTATATTACAAGAAGAGAAATTCTCTACTACAGCATCTTTTTATTGCCCCATCTTTTATACATGAATATTTTAAATTTCAGAAATGAAAAGGAACATATAATCTAATCCTGTGGTTTTCAAACTTTTTGTGAAAAACAGAAATGGAATAATTTTATTTTCAAATGAAGTATCAATCTCCAGTTCTAAATAGGTAAAAACGTAACTGCACTGTTGAAGTAGATGGAAACCAAGAGCCCTATCTGCTGTAGCTCCTTACAAATATTCCTGAAGTACCCTAGGAGTCTGAAGAATACAGATTGTATATTCTAAGAATCTAATTCAGTGCCCTTAGTTTAAAGATTGATTGACACAAATATTCAGATTCCAAATATGATTTTTATGATGTCCCCACAATTATTCTTTGTGTTCATTTTTTTTTTTAAATAAAAAGTCATAGCAGTAAGTTTAGAGCTAGAGGGAATCTCAGAGATGGTCAAGTCTAGTAGTTTCTTAATTTTTGTGCATCGGGAGGAGGGATTCAGCAACGGAATCTTCTTTTGAGACAGAGTCTCACTGTGTTGCCGGGGCTAGAGTGCCGTGGCGTCCGCTTAGCTTACAGCAACCTCAAACTCCTGGGCTCAAGCGATCCTTCTGCCTCAGCCTCCCGAGTAGCTGGGACTACAGGCATACGCCACCATGCCCAGCTAATTTTTTCTATATATTTCTAGTTGTCCGATTACTTTCTTTCTATTTTTAGTAGAGACGGGGTCTTGCTCTTGTCCAGGCTGGTCTGGAACTACTGAGCTCAAACAATCCGCCCACGTCGGCCTCCCAGAGAGCTAGGATTACAGGCGTGAGCCACCGCGCCCAGCCGCAATGGAATCTTCTTATGTGAAAGAAAAAAAGTGGAGGCACCCTAGCTGAGGAAGCGGTGGGGTCATGTGTGGAAACATGGAGCTCTGTCCACCCAGTGGCCACCACACCACCCCCTGCACTAGCTGCTAATGGACCTTACTAGAGCACAATTTCATAACCAATAACTTGGTCAAAATCATTTTATACAGGAGGATATTCGGGTGCAGAGAGCGAAACTAATTTATGCAAAGTTACACAGGTAGAATATAAAGTTTAAGACTACAATCTTAATTCCCACTAGTTTTTTTCTACTCCACTCCACTATATACAAGAAAGTTGCAAACCTGTAGGACAGCGGTCCCCAACCTTTTTGACACTGGGACTGGTTTCACCAAAGATAATTTTTCCACGGACTGGCACAGGGGTGGGGGGAGGGCGTGGGGGCGGGGACGATGGGGGAACAGGGAGGAAGGGAGGCGGAGGAGCTTTATGACCTGGTCCCTAACAGGCCGCACCAGCCAGGGGATTGGGAACAGCAGCCTTAGGAATATGGCCTTTTAGAGTTTAAATGTGTTGGTTAAAAATAAGTGATGGACTCGGGTATTCTTACCAATGAACATTTGCAGAAAATGAAATGATTCCTACCTTCACTTAGAGATGGCCGAATAGGTGGTGAAACCAATGGGCCAAATGTCTCTAAATCAAATCGTCCAGTCCGGGATTGAGCCTTCAGCAACCAATAGCGTTTCTCGAGATCAATGATGTCTGATTCCTCCACTGAGAGTAAAATCAAACAAGATTATAAAACCTCAGAATTCTCTTATGGGCAGTTAGTTCATCCTGAGAATATATCTTTCAGGGATATATTTCATACAGGATGATAGAACTTAGGGAAACAAGGAAAATAAAAAAACGAAAATAAATGAAAAGAATATATTTCAATTTCCCAATTAAATTGCTAAAAATAATCATGATCAAAGCCAAAACTCTGAAAGACAAATTTTATTATATCTAAAATGGCAGAAAAATTAAACCAAAATGAACAAAAAGCAAGAGGCTTTAAAATCAGAAAAAAGAAATCTATAATTTCCTGGTAAGCAGGCTGCTTAAATCCAATATGTGAAATAATATATGTACAGCTAAGCCATTTCTTTTGGGCTTCCCATATCACTTTTACTTATACTCATTTTTCTGTTAGTTTTCAGTCTTTATCTTAGATTTAAAGTTTCTATGTACATCTTCTCTCCTGGCTAGACTATAAACATCATAATAGTAGGACTTTTGTCTGATTCACCCTGTGAATGACTGACTTATACATATTTAATACTTACTGAATAAATTTAAAAAATACATGGTAAAGGATGTTTATAAGGAAAAAGTCAATAAATGACGGGGAAGCTAAAGTACGATTCAATGTGTAACAGTAAAATCATGAAAGCATGAACATCTTTCTCTCCTCATTCATCAGATACTATATCAAAAATCATAGATAAACTCCAACCATGGTTACATTATTATCTGTGTTCACTTTTCCTCCAAGGAACTAGAGCAAAATTTAGAAAGCATATACAGGAATTTTATTCTCAACTAAACACAGGAACCAAAGTGATCCTATTATTAATAAAATGTAAATCTGGGAAGTTCCAATTCTGGCCATAATGGAATAAGTAGCACCAAACTTGCCCTTCTGACACAAATGACTAGAAAACTGTACAAAATATATAAAAAAATATTTCTAGAAATTAGAGAACAGGTAGTACAGGACTGTGATTCTTGAGAGAAAAGAAACAAATAACATGAGCCCTTTGATGGCCCTGGCTTTCTCCCTGCAGTTACTTCCCAGGCCTTAGCAGGGGATGAGGATTCTAAGTAGAGAGATTTCACTAAGTTAAGAAGAGAGGTTGGAGGTCAAGGTAGCTGAAATCTGCAGGACAGAGTACTAGAGAAGAAAATGTTATGCAAAGAAAAGAGCTCCAGAAGTGTGCACAGGTGTCTTATTGAGTTTTGGCAGACTACTAAACTGTGTGTACACAGAGTGAAACTCACTGAGGTTGGGCTCGAACAAACACTAGGGACTTGCAAGCTGAAAAGTTCCCAGAGCTCATACGGGGCTCGGAGATGTCAGAGTTCTGACCAGACAGAGTGGAGACACTTTGTTGAACACTGGGAACATTCATAGACTCCAGAGGGTCCTTACTTATTTAGTAGGGAAAAAATACAGTAAAGCCTACTCCAGATTTGCTCCAGTAAAGTTTAAAAGCAATCCTTGAAAATATCAAGCTGATCCACAAGTAACTTAATTGCCTATCGAAATGAAACACAACTTCCTTTTTTAAAGGAAGATAGTGAAATTCATATACTCAGCAATATTACATTCACAATGTCTAGCATCCAAAGAAAACACGAAAGAAACAGAAAAATGTCACCCAAAGCCAGGATAAAAATTAGTCAACAGAAAAAGACCTAGAAATAACAGATGACAAAATTAGCAGACAAGGGTTTCAAATATCTATTATAAATAATCTCAAGAATTTAAGAAAAACATGAATATACTGAGGAATGAAATGGCAACTATAAAAAAGTATCAGCTGGAACTACTAAAGATGAAGAATGCAATATTTGAAATAAAAATTCACTGTAGGACATAGATTAGAAACTAGAGAGGAAAGACCAGTAAACTTGAAGACTGAGCAACAGAAACTATCCACGTGGAAGCATAAAGAGAAAAAAATTATTAGAACCTTAGTGACCTATAAGACAATTATCAAAACACACATGCAACTGGGGTCCTGGAAAGGGGTAGGCAGAAAATACTTGAAACAGTAATAGATGAAAATTTTCTAAATTTGATGAAAACTGAAATCCCACAGACCCACAAATTCAATGAACCTTATAGTAAAAAACTCAAAACCACACCAATGCAAGTCATAATCAAATTGCTGATAATGAGAAAAATCTTAAAAGAAATAAGATAGGGGGAAAGAGGATAATACATTACAAATAGGAGAACCAAGATAAGTCCTGGTTTCTCTCCAGAAACAAAGAAGCCAGGAATGGGAGTGGGGGGGTGCTGAAAGAAAAAACAAACTGTCAACCTCAAATTTCTTATCTTATAAAAATATTCAAAACTACAGACTTTTTTGACAAACAAAACTGAGAATTCGTCAGTAGCAGAACTGCACCAAAAGGAATATTAAGGACATTCTTCAGACTGAAGAAAATAGTACCAGATGGAAATCAGTATCTACACAAAGAATACTAAATGAAGAAAACAGGAAATGCCCTGTCCCTAACTTTCACAGAAGTTATCACATACTGATATAATTGATCTTACCAGATTTTAGGTGGGCACTGGTTGCAGCTTTTATTGGTATGTTTATCCCTGATTCAAATGCTTCGAAGGTGAGTTCAGATTTCTATTAAGGAAACCCCTGAAAATGCTAGTTTTTAAAACTAAGGGAATACTAAACCAGGGGTCTACAAACTACAGCCTGAAGGATGCACATCTGTTTATGTAAATAAAGTTTTTATTAGGGCTGGGCATCGTGGCTCACACCTGTAATCCTAGCACTCTAGAAGCCTAGAGGCCAAGGCAGGACTATTGCTTGAGGTCAGGAGTTCAAGACTAGCCTGAGCAAGAGCAAGATCCCACCTCTACAAAAAATAGAAAGGTTAGCTGGGCATGGTGCTCGTGCCTGTAGTCCCAGTTACTCGGGAGTCTGAGGCAGGAAGATCACTGGAGCTCAGGAGTTCGAGGTTGCAGTGAGCTATGGTGACACCACCACACTCTAGCCAGGACAACTGAGCAAAATTCTATCTCCAAAAAAAAAAAAAGTTTTATTAGAAAACAGGCATGCAATTTATAATACATATTTTTTATGACTGCTACTGTGTTACAATGGTAGAGCTGAGTAACTGCCGCAGAGTTCAAATGCCAACATTCCTGAAATATTATATTTACTATCTGCCCTTTAAGAAAAAGTTTGACAATCCCTGTATTAAACTTTGAAATTTCATGACTGCAAGACTTCAAAAGTATGAGACGTCACAAAACAACAAGACCTCAGAACAATGGAGCCCTAAGACTGAGAGATCAGAGACTTCAAAATTGTGAGACCATGAAACTGCAAGATCTTGAGATCTCTTTTCCTTTAATAGACTTTATTATTTTACAGCAGTTTTAGGATTACAGCAGAATTAAGCAAATGTTACAGAAAATTCCCTACATCCCCCCCCCTAAATATATATACTCTTCCATTATCCAACATCACCTATCAGAGTGGTACATTTGTTATAATTGATGAACCTACATTGACACATCATTATCACCCAAAGTCCACAGTTTACATTAGGGTTCACTCTCGGTGGTGTATTTTCTGTAGGTTTGGACAAATATATAGTGATATACATCTGCCATTGTAGTATCACACAGAATCCTCTGTGTTCCACCTGTACCTCCTTCCCTCCCCACTAACCCCTGACAACCACTGGTCTTTATAGTGTTATGAGATCTCTTTTTACTTTTCAGCCTGCTCTCAGTCTTACTAAAATTTCTACATGAGAGAATCACTGGGTGGAGAGGATTATCTTTGCATTTGGGGTTCCTTCGGATTCATATCTCACAGAAGTTTCTCAAAAGTTTGGCTGGTTTCTCCTCACCCCAGTGAAAACTGTCCTCTGGCAGGCTCACTCTTCTGCCAGCCTTACTTTCAGTCTCAGCATCTGATCTCAGATATGAAAGCATTCTACATCCCTTTATCACTTAGGAAGGCCTCACCCCTCTGGAGTTTAGTTTTGTGGTTTTTTTGTTTGTTTCTTTGTTTTTGTTTTATTTCAGCATATTATGGGGGTACAGATGTTTAGGTTACATATGTTGCCCTTGCCCCCCCCCAAGTCCGAGTTTCAAATATGTCCATTCTTCGGGTGGTGCGCATTGCACTCTTTGTGTGTGCATATACCCGTCCCCTCCTCCCTCTAGTTTTGTTTTGATTTTAACAATTCCTTGCATCTATACATCTTCAATGGCTTTAAAAATGAGTATGATTCTTTGGTTCAGTGGTGATTTTATGTTATTATAGTGGCAGTGAAGGTCTTTCATGTCTTTCTACTTCCTAACATGAAGCAGAACCTTAGAATCCACATCCCTCCAATTATTATTTAACATAATTATGAACATTCTCATTAATGCAATAAGACAAAAATAATCTAATAAACTTAAGGAATATTGGCCAGGTGCGGTGGCTCACGCCTATAATCCTAGCACTCTGGGAGGCCAAGGCCGGTGGATTGCTCAAGGTCAGGAGTTCGAGACCGGCCTGAGCAAGAGCGAGACCCCGTCTCTACTAAAAAATAGAAAGAAATGATCTGAACAACTAAAAAAAAAAATTAGGGAAAATATAACTTAGAACAGTGTAAGATTGGGGAGAAAAAGAAATACTTGACACAGAGGTCCTGAATTAGCTCTGAA